CGGATTATTGTCCTCATCGTTGTCGCCATATTTATTACAATGTTTCGGCCTTTCAGTATCTGTCTATATTTCTGAAATGAGGTATTATGTACACTATTTACATTATTCGGACTATTGTCCTCATCGTTGTCGCCATATTTATTACAACGTTTCGGCCTTTCAGTATCTGTCTATATTTTTGAGATGAGGTATTATGTACATTATTTACATTATTCGGACTATTGTCCTCCTCTTTGTCGCCATATTTACTACAACGTTTCGGCCTTTCAGTATCTGTTTATATTTCTGAAATGAGGTATGTACATTATTTACATTATTCGGACTATTGTCTTCATCTTTGTCGCCATATTTATTACAATGTTTCGGTCGTTGTATGCTCCGGCCTTCTTCAGGTGGTTGGAATGTCGAACTGAACCCTTTATTTCGCTCACTGGGGTAGACTGTTCTAGTTCCACGTGCCATGTTTAATGGATGTCAGTTATCAGTTATCTCCTGTTAACTTCAATATGAGCACTGTTAAAAATGGTTGCTGAAGACATTAGGTTTATAATACCCAGAAATTCATACACAGAGGATTCAATGATAAAGGCGTTGTTTAGATCCAGTGACAGGGCCTAAAGAGTGTGAGTTCAATACCCGGTTAAGGCAGTGGAAAGGGAAATTAACGGGAGATAACTGATAACTGACATCTATTAAACATGGCACGTGGAACTAGAACAGTCTACCCCAGGGTTAAGTTCGTCATTCCAACCACCTGAAGAAGGCTAAAGCGTACAACAGCTGAAATGTTGTAATAAATATGGCGACAAAGATGAGGTAAATAATGTAAATAATGTACAATTTTAACTAATCAGAAGGAAAGTCAACGCTAAATTTGAAAAGTTAAAGATATAGTTTAGATGTTGGGGGATGTATTGTATTCATACATGTCTTGGAGAACTGTTACATTAACGACTCAACAACTTACTTCCAGCAAAAATGTGCATTTAAGTTATGAAGACATATTCTTAGAGATATCTAGGTACCTGAAATTGGGTTAATTTTTTATTTTTTTAAAAATTATTTTAAGATATATTTTTATTTTTATTTTTTAATGAGAACTCTAGTATGATTAAAATGTTTTTATATATTTTTGAACCAAAATACAATTCTTATTTCATTCATTATGTTTTTTTATACATAGCAATTTAAAATTAAAAATCAAGGAATTTAAGTATTATTAGATGTACCATAATATATAATAAAATAATGTATTTTTCTCTATCTTCTTTTTAAAATAATTGTCGGACTTTGTCCATTTCATAATGTGTGACGTCATTTGTTTATATTTGGATACGCATCGAGCAGATATGAATATACGTGAGAGATTCATGGAAGATTGAAGTTTAAAATACAGTAAATTCGACCTTGCTAACCAAACGCTCCTCTGTGGCCAAATCGGTTAAAGGCACGTCAAACTAAATGGCGGTTCCGTATAGGATACAGGTTCGAATTCGAAATGGCGGTTCCGTATAGGATACAGGACGAATATTTTGTATGAAAATTTCTCGGACATTCAGGCCGGTAAATGTTGCTTAATACTGTTTATTATAAACAGAAAATTTACTTAAATATTTGTATCTATAAAAAGAATGTATAAACATAAGAAATGTCTTAAAATAATTGTTGGACTTTGTCCATTTCATAATATATATATATATATATGTGTGTGTGTATATATATATATATATATAGTACAGATAATTGATCCGTTGGTATATAATCCGGGTGTATCCTAGTAATATTAATTATTAAAACTGATCCACAGAGAACTCGATGTTTTTAATTTAACAGACCGTGTGTATTTTTTACGACAAAAAAAACATTACCTCAACATGGGTATAGTCTATTTCAAGCCGTTCTGTAGACGGCTATCAGGGCTTAGAGGCTGATGATGGCCGCATACAGAAGAGTTTGAAATAGACTATACCCATGTTGAGGTAATTTGGTTTTTTGCTGTGATATATATATAAATATATATATATATATATATATATATAGATAGATAGATAGATAGATAGATAGATAGATAGATAGAGCTAGTGAGCAGAAAAACCTTCCTAGGTTTCACTAAACGGATCGTCAGGGAAGGTTTTCCCTGACGATCCGTTTAGGTGAAACCTAGGTAGGTTTGTCTGGCTCACTAGGTGTATCTAGGTCTGCTCTACGGTTGTATTGAGCTCTTTTGTTAGTTGTTGCTCGTATCGGGGTTTTTTCTTTGGGCTTCAGACCTGCATCTGTGCGATTTTTTTGTCGACAGAAGTTCATGTTTGTAGCTCTTTCTTTTTTTTAAACCTTTTTTCCCTCGAGATTGGTTTGATTATTGGCAAATCAAAAATTCGAGTATTTTTCGAAACGAGTCTAATTATCTATAATTATATGTATATATATATATATATATATAAACCTCATGAATTTGAAATTGATATCGAATGATAACAAACGCAGTAAAATGAACAGTAAAATTGTTCTGAATTTGCAGAAATAAATATACACATAAAAAGACAATTTGACCCTCTGAAGACGGTCTAAGATGATATATTGAAAGTACTTGGGGAAAAGAAAAATTATTTGAAAGAATATTTCGGTATTTTTCTCAATCAATTTTCTACGGCTATCAACAAATTGATTCGTGGACTCGAGATGATAAGAGAAAACAATGAATTCACTCAGATGAAAATGTCGAAAAATTGCTTTCATCGCTTGATCAGCCACGGCAAATATGCATCCGGGTTCTTACATTGTTTCACCATTCTTAGATATTCTATTATCACAATGTGGGTATTTAATAACAAAAGTTATGGAAACACAAACAAAAAGTATCTAAATGGAACTGGCTAGATTCTAAAGACATATTTTTAAAAAATCTATCGATCTCGCTAGGTATTCCAATATTTTCATATCTATCTATCTATCTATCTATCTATCTATATATATATATAATGTGTGTGTGTGCGTGCGTGCGTGCGTGCGCGAGCAAATATATAGAAAAATAGGAAAGAACACGTTAGGTTAATAATCCGAAGTTCTTTAGTATTTTTGTTTCTATTTAAAAAACAAAACAATTATATATATATATATATATATATATATATATATATATATATATATATATATATATATATATAAATACATATAAATATAGATAACTAGACTCGTTTCGAAAAACCCTGGAATTTTTGATTTGCTAATCAAATCAATCTCGAGGGAAAAAAAAGGTTTTAAAAAAGAAAGAGCTACAAACATGAACTTCTGCCGACAAAAAAAATCGCACAGATGCAGGTCTGAAGCCCAAAGAAAAAAACCCCGATATGAGTAAACAACTAACTAACAAAAGAGCTCAATACAACCGTAGAGCAGACCTAGATATACACCTAGTGAGCCAGACAAACCTATCTAGGTTTCACCTAAACGGATCGTCAGGGAAAGTTTCACCTAAACGGATCGTCAGGGAAAGAATATATATATATATATATATATATATATATATATATATATATATATTCCAATATCTATTTATTATCTATCTCAGTTTGTTCATTATCTATCTAAATATCTATCGCAATTTGTTAATTATTTATCTATCTATCTATCGATCTATCTCAGTCTGTTCAAATCTATCGATCTATCGATCTAACTGTAGCAAATACAGATCAAATATGGATTAGAATGCGAATGAATGATATGATAAAGAACAAATCGGAAACGTTTATCAATCTAACATGCTACACTTTATTAAAGCTTCATCAGAGAATTATATCTATCTATCTATCTATCTATCTATCTATCTATCTATCTATATATATATATATATATATATATATATATAGTCAATAAATCTGTAAAAGTCTTATTTGCCCACCCAAATGTTTTGCGTTGAAACAGTCATTAGCGCTAGATTTTATTTTCCTGAGCTCACTACGAAGTTAGAATGGGACACAAAGTGGGCTTTCAATACACGTTCATATGATCCGAAGTCACTGTCACGCTGGCGTCGATATTATACCAAAGCCACCTCTCTCCTCGGGAACGGCCATTTTGTCTATTACTCTACAATAGATAGATACTAAGCATTGATCTCGAACCTGAAAAATACGCTAAATTCTCATCATTTTCAAGCTGCATTTTTATAATTAGTAGGGATGAGCGCAAAATACAATTTGCATATCGGGAACAATAAAAATAAAGCAGACGCGAAAGTTTCAATGTCTGGAAAGTGTTTAGATAGAGGACGGAAGGTGCGACGCTGAGATCCGAAGACGGATTGGGATGGCCAAGGTCACATTCCTAAAAGCTGAAGGACAGAGTACTGCGAGACAGGAGGATTTCTTTGGTGACAAAGGAAAGAATACTGAGCTGTTACGTGACATCTGTTCTTCTTTACGGTAGCAAATGTTGGACGATTTCCTCAAAGGTGAAGAAGAGACTCGAGGCGTCGCTGATGTGGTTCTACAGAAGGATGCTGAGGATATCATGGACCGAGCGTGTGAACAACGATGAGGTCTTAGAGAGGATGCAAACAAGGAGGAAGCTTATTCTTAACATAAGGAAGAGGCATATAAAATTTTTGGGACACGTAATGAGAAAGGAGGGCCTGGAGAATCTGATACTCACAGGTCGAATAGAGAGGAAAAGAGACAAGAGAATGAAATACCTGGCGGGCTTAAGCAAGTGGATCGCAGAACGTGTTCTGGGGGAATTGGCAGAGGTACCAAACCTATTGAGAGCCACAAGGGATAGGGGGTTAGTGGAGAGCCATGATCGCCTACGTCCTGGAGGGAGACGGCACATAAAAAGAAAGAAAAACGTATACACACAAACTTTTTCCTATTTTTGGTTCTAAGTTTTTATTTTTATTTATTAGATTTAAATTAAGTGTTTTTCTTTAGTGTTTTTGGTCATGATGTGGTTTTAGGTATCATAAAATTAATTCGTTTTTGTATTTAAATCTGGATGCATAC